CATTGTTAGTATTTATGTTGTATACTTATAACTTGTCTCTCCAGATAAACACAAGCTTCTAAACAGAAGAACGTGTATGTAAAATTGTTTGGGTTTGTAAACACTGGGACCTGGCCCTCCTCAGAGAGCCATAAAAGCTTGCTGAATAAAGAAATCAGCAAGGCTAACCATTAAAATTCAAGTACTAATATCAATTCAGATGTACCCAATAAAGTTAAATTATAAAATGTCATTTTTATTTAGTATCCATTGGTGAGCAAACCAAAACCAAATGTGGTTATAGTTGAAATAAACAAGTAAAAAGCTATTGGTTTGGCCTAGAAAGCAATGCTTTAAAGTTCCTAAGAAGGAACTTCTGTAAAAGACTTTATACCACATATTTACTTAACACATGCACATAAGGCAAAAATTAAAAAAGAAAATGGACTCTTGTCAGAATCTTGACAGAATCACAAATAAGAGATTTATGTAATGTAAAAGTAATTTTTTAAAAACTGAGTGTATTTTGTCTTTTTTTTAAATAGGCTCCACGCCCAATGCTTAATGTGGGGCTTGAACTCAGGACCCTGAGATCAAGAGTCAGATGCTCTACCAACTGAAACACCCAGGTGCCCTGAGATATATTTTTAAACACTGACTCACTGGGTTAGCACTAGAATTAAACCTACTCCAACCATAACTTACATAAACGAGTAATCTTTTAAATGTGACAAAAACCAATCAGCATATACAAAAGTCCAGCACACCTACATAATTGACCTAGGACTTGAAACAATGTGAAAAGACAGCCTGGAAAGTCACAGATCAACAAACAATTTTTTTTCTTTTTTTTTCAAGTTCAGTGTATAACCAGACTCAGTGTCAGTTCAAACGTCAATATCAGTTAAGACTTCATCACTGATATTTGGGGTTAGCAAAACTACAGCTTTGGAACCTTGTTATTCTTTACTTCCAGACAGAAACACACACACACACACACACACACACACCACAAAATAAACCAATAAGAAGCACATGACTATATGGGGGGAACTGTTTCACTTAACAACAATTTCCATGTATCTTCCATTAAACAAAGTGGTTAAAAATCAAACCACATTACAATGTTTTGCAAAGCTAAAGTATCTTCCATAAACTGATGTGTCTTTAAAAGGGCTGGACTGAAATTTTATACAATAACACTTATGTCTGCATATTAATGAACTTTGAGCACCACACATTTGGCAGAGTGTTGAAATCAATGTTTCCAAATACCTTCAGTGATAGATGGATTCTCTGGTTATCTAAAATCATTCCTGTGCAAATAGCTTTAAGTAGTGAAGCAGCAAAATTCCTCTATTTAGAAAAAAATCCATATTCTAGTTCCGCCATAGACGGTCATTGTAAAGAAGTATAAACAAGTCTAATTCTAGGCTGATGATACACAGAGAGCAGATATATACAAAAGCTTCATTTAGATAAAACGACCAAGAAAACTACCATTTCCTGATTTTCTCCCTCAGTCCTCGCCACCCACCACCTTGATTCTGCAAATGGCAGAATAAATTAAAGCTCCTTTCTTCTACATCAACTCTTTTGTCCTCTCAAGGCTGCCTAATCATATTCATCTCTTAAAATGAAGTAAGAAACATTTCAAAAGCCGTATTCACATTAAATCAACTTTCTGATTCGTGCATTGCAGGAATAAAGCAGTGTAATCACATCTTAAATTGGTTTACAGCAGGCTGTCTACCTTATCCTAGTGCTCAGGATTGATGAAATGAATAGTTTTAAAATAGCACTTTTTGAAATGACTGAGAATTAATAGTGCATAATTATCTCAGTGTTGACAAGTGAGAGATGTTTAACTCCTTAAATGAGCTTTCCTAATGAATCAGTGTCAGAGAAAGGCTTCATTGCCTGTACATTGTTGATTGATATCTCAGGGGATTCATTTAACCATAAAGGCATGCTAAAAGCCAATTTTAAAAATCATTTCTGTAAAAACTAAATGACCCAACTTTCACTTAAGATTTTCCTGTAGGTTTCAACAGTATTCTACACACTGGACTACCAGGAAAACCTTCCTCCACATCTTCCCTGCCTACTAGGAATGAAATGTTCAACCTTTCTAGATAGTTTCTGCAAAACAGACTGCAGTATTACGATGCCAATTGTCTAGAAAGAAAAAGGTAAACATTAAACTACTGAATTTGAAAAACAGTATGGAGACTACATTTCTGACCTTTATATTTAAGGATTATTTTTTTTTTTAATCTTTATTTATGAGAGAGAGAGAGAGAGAGAGACAGAGAGAGAGAGAGAGACAGAGAGACAGAGAGAGAATCCAAAGCAGGCTCCAGGCTCTGAGCTGTCAGCACAGAGCCCAATGAGAGGCTCAAACCCACGAACCGGGAGATCATGACCTGAGCCCAGTCGGATGCTTAACCAACTGAGCTGCTCAGGTGCCCCCATGTTTGAGGATTCTAATGCAAGACGACTACAATACGATGAATCTCTTTTTTCAATAAAAAAATTAATATATGAAAAAATTATAAAAATATTCAAGTTTACCACATTGAACTTTAACATTTTATATTCAAACCTTGTCCTTAATTCATGTTAACTCATAACTACAGCATTCAATTCTGTGTCTTAAATCCTGTGGATAAAAACAAATTCATATTTCTAAATACCTGGAAAACAGAACCATTCAAAAGAAACATTTCCAGCAGCAGAGCTTTCCAGGCAAACACAATACAGTCCAGCTCTAATTTACTCTTTATTTTTCTGTATCTTTCACATATGCCAACTGTCTAGCTTTGGGATGTGTCGGACACTGGGCCAATAACTTTCTATGTAGTCGGTTAAGTATCCAACTCCTGATTTCAGCTCAGGTTACAATATTATGGTTCATGAGTTCAAGCCCTGCGTAGGGGTCCATGCTGCTTGGAATTCTCTCTCTTCCTCTCTCTGCCTATCCCCCACTTGTGGTCAGGCTTTCTCTCTCTTTCAAAATAAATAAACTTTAAAAAAACGGGGCACCTTAGTCGGTGCACGAAGTCGGGCACGACTTCGGCTCAGGTCATGATCTCTCGGTTCATGAGTTCAAACCCCACGTCGGGCTCTGTGCTAACAGCTCAGAGCCTGGAGCCTGCTTCAGATTCTGTGTTTCCCCCTCTCTCTGCCCCTTCCCTGCTCACACTCTGTCTCTCTCTGCCTCTCAAAATTGAATAAACATTTTTAAAAAATAAAATAAAAATAAATAAAAAAAAAAAGAAGAAGAACTGGGGCACCTGGGTGGCTCAGTGGGTTAAGCGTCCGACTTCGGCTCAGGTCCTGATCTCTCACGGTTCTGTGAGTTTGAGCCCCGCGTCAGGCTCTGTGCTGGCAGCTCAGAGTCTGGAACCTGCCTCAGATTCTGTGTCTCCCTCTCTGTGCTCCTCCTCCACTCATGTTCTGTCTCTCTCTCTCAAAAATAAATAAACTAAAATTTTTTTTAAATAATAATAATAAAAATAAATAACTAAAATAAGAAGAACTTTCTATTTCATCTTCAAGACATCCAAGGAGGGAGAGAAACATTATCCCTGCTTTGCAGATGCGGGAGCTCACCGCTTGCAGGGTCCCATCTGGGTCACATAAATGGCAGTGGGTGGAGCCGGAGCCGCTGAACCAAGGGGCCTGGAATGTAGAATGCACACACGCTCTGGTAGCAAATATTTTCCACTTAGATTAGGACCCCGCTTACGTTAGCTGTCAGTAAAATGTGGAGGTGTTAGATCAAGTTCAGTTATTCCTTCATGGATTCATTGCCCCTGAGAGGCAATTCTAGCCAGCACTCTCACAGAGGCTGGGATGCAATGGCTCACAGCAGCACGGCCCTTCTGCCTGGAGGCCAGATAGCCCTGGGAGCAAGGGGAGGTAGCTTTGTTATCACAGGCCTTATTTAAGAGAGCCTGGGGGGGAGTAAAATTGGGATGCAGTCAGGCCTCCCTGACCTAGTATCCTTTCCTTAGCATCTGAGGGGAAGTCTGAAGAGCTTCTCCCTGAGACTGAAACAGGGAGAGCCAAGCGTGAAGACAATGTCAGCCCAGGCTCTGAGAACTAAGGCGCCAGCCCAGACTGGCGGGGTGCCCCCCTCCCCGGCACACGGGGCCTGTTGCTACCAGACACGGGTGGACGGCAGCAGGCTGTAACCAGAATGTCCACCCGGAGAGGTGCTCTGGAGAAACAAACTGCCCTGACTTTCCTCTAGGGAACCAAGGCCCGTGGCCCTGCAATCTCCTCCCCAGGTACAAACGCTACCATTTCTCCCGTATGCCTCCACGGAACAGCAGGAATGAAGCTACATCTTCACCAGCCTAATTCCTACCTTCAGGCTTCCATCTGATGTTTCCAATCACATACTTCAGACACATGAAAACCTCAGACCATTGTAGACCCATTAGTCATATTTAAACTACGCATCAAAGCTCACTGGACCATTTTGCTAAACTGATACCTTAACATGTCTTTAGGAAAAATGCTTGTGCAGAGTTAAACATGACTTCTTAAAGCATAATCAGCTAAGAAACTGTTGTCAAAGTTATTTTATAAATATTCATGAATAAACATACATGTGTACTAAATAGAAAAGATTGGACTTTCTCATCTACATATAGGGATTATGAGAACTATTTCTTGAGAATTATTAGTTACTGCATATGAATGGTAGAATCTAGCATCGGCAGGTGCTCAAAGATGGTCACATTTGAACTGTAAAGCAAACAGACTTCATATTTTATTTATATTAAAAAAATGTACAGGAGAACATTAACCAACTTTAAACGATCCCCAATAATTTTACTGCATTTACCAAGTGTATAGAGATTTATATTGAAAAATAAAAACATACTGAGAACTGCAGAGTTTCAAAGGTAAAAATATACTTTACATACTACTTTGTAAGTAATGCTTCTTTTTTGCTTTCAATTTGTTATCTTTAGCACAAAAAGGAAAATGTTAAAATATAAGCTGTTGTAAGAAGTTCTAATTTCTTAATGTTTGTGATGGTAGCCCTCCGTAAGCCAGCCAGAGGGCAGACAAGTACTAGTGGGGTGCTTACAGTGGGCTGCGGGGTGCATGTGGAACACAGAAAGACCAGGATTTCACGTCGGTTGCCGATATAAACTGTCTTCTCCCCTGCTCAGCCCTTCAAGTGATGCCTCTGAAGATATCCTTGCTCCCTCAGAGGAAGATTTTAGACACAACCGAATGGCGATACCCCTTGTGCTTGTAATTCTGTAGACGCACATCCAAGACTGCGGGCCCAGTCCCATCATTCTGGGCCTGAATCCCCACTGCTGACGTCAGAAGAGGCCTTAATCAAGTGGAATCTGATGGCACTTCTTTAAGGGGACACATCCCCAGTATAGATACCCCATCTCTGAGTTGACATTTGGCAAGCAATATCAGGCCTTTGGGAGTCAAAGAACTGGCCTTTTCAAACTCTTTCCTCAAAATAATGACATTTGGAGAACAGCTGTCAGTCATGGAAAGCCATCATCAAGCACTGTGGGATGACTTGAAACCTGGTTCTAAAAAGGAAATTAAAAATTAAAATAACACATTTAACAGTTTACAAGTTTCTGATCTGCTGGGAGACACAGAAAGAATCAAATTATTCCCTTGGCCAGGGAAAATCCAGGTTCCCTTTTTAAGTCCTACTCTGTAACCCTGAGCCCGCCCTGTAGGAAGGTAATTATCTGGGCCAGAGGGATCATCCCTGCTGCTTCTCAGAAGTAAACGCAGGGAGCTAAATTAAGGTACTTAGAGGAAAGCTTGCAGCCTGTGCAGAGCTGAGTGGCTCGACTCCTGCGGATTCTAGAGCAGAGCACTAAAGGCTCCTGCTCATTCAGAGAGCAGGTACCGAATGGAGCAGCAGCAGAAAACGCAGCTTCTCAATCATCCCCTTCTGCTCCTGTTAATCAATGGAGTCCCGCAGCTAACAACCTCAAGCGATGGCCTTAAAATGCAAGTTTTCATGTTATTTCATCACAGAGTCCTGGTCCCAAAATGTCTTTATTATGTAGTTTCCAGTTTACCTGTATGTAAAAAAGGAAACAGGAGAGCACAGCAGGAAAGCTACTATTGTGAGAAAGAAGGACACAAAATTCAAGCAATGAATTAAAGAGGCAAATGAAGGAACTCTTTTCCTTTATTAGAAATGGAAGAAACAGATTGTGCTAATCTCCCGAGGGCCAACAGCCGCCCTGCGTGGCACTCAGCCAGCTCCAGTCACAAAGCTCACTTCGGAGTTCTGCTCTGTGAAAAGAGAAGCCAGATGGGCTGTTTACTTTCAACAAGATAATTCTGGAGGAAATTGTTATAAGTCACAGAAACTTTTTAGCTTCATCTGCTATTTTAGCCTCTAAGCTGGTGCAGAAGGTGGGGGGTGGGGGGAGCATGCTGTCAGGAAGGAGAGGAGAGGAAATCAAGGAAGAGAAGAGAGGGGATTAAGGAAAGTCCGGCCCAAAGCTCGGGCAGCAGTGCCCTCCAAGCGCAGAGGCGCCCCACCCGGGCTGCACCCTCGCTCCACCAGCCGCTCCCATAACCCGGGACAAGCGAGCTGACAGCTCGGAGCTTCTGTTTCCTCCTGGGGATCATGGGCCCATACAGTGTCACAGGAGTTTGGGAAGATTATACGGCATGGTGTGGGTACGGCGACTAAAACACAACACACAACATGAGCCCCCAAGCAACTCTGGGCACTATTTCTATCCCTGTTAAGTTTCTCTTCCATTTGCAAAATTAAAAGAGAATCCATCACTCATACACACACACAACTAAACTCTCCAGAGTATAGCAAGAGCTAAATGTTATATTAATCTACTGATCATACATGATGGAATTTATATGCATGGAAACAAGTTATTTTATTTTGTTATCACAGAGAAAAATAATCCAGAAAATTTTATCCTTGGATCAAGAATTTCAGAGAGACTTTTCTGCATAAAATTATTTCAAGAAAAACAGCTGTACAACTATACAAAGAAGTTCACTTATCAGAAGCTTCCAATAAACATAAAAAATGCTTCCTAACTAGGAAAGCCAAATTTTCCCTATCCACGTAAAAATGATGGCTACCAGGACAAAAGTCAAGATAATCCTTATACGCATATATGTAGAAAAGGCATCTAGCAGCCTTACTATTACAATATACAGCATAGAAATATATTACTTATTAAAACCGAAAGAATTCCAGTTAAGTTATGGGATCACTGGGTGTCCACATTAACCTACTTCTCTTTGTTTACACCTGTAATACCATTCAATGACAAGTGATGATTCTAAGAGAATGTAAGACACTCTCCGCATATGGCAATATACAATAATGTTCAGTCCATGTGTTTACCATGTCAGGAGAAAGGAATCCATTTCTAGAAAGATTATTCCACATGAAGTAGTAAAATAAAAATATTTCAGTTTTGCCTGGTTATCTCTGAATTGATTTTGAGGAAAGTCACAAATATTTGCTTTCACTGTCACATAAAGAAACAGCATCACTATTTTTGGTAATACATTCTCTTTCTGAAAGGGAAGAAATCCCAAAGAAAGAATCAACTTAATTTTCAAAGTGTATTTATGGGTCCAGATAAGACAAAAACAAAAGCAAACACATATTTAAAAACCAGAAACTCTAGAAAAATATACTGCTATATTTAAGTTTTTACATTCTTGGTGACTCCATCCAGCTGTGCCCTAAGAAAATTGAGTAAGTGTATATGAACACTTGAGAAAGTACACACACACACACACACACACACACACACACACGTATACACTAGAAACTTACAGGTTTTATGCCCTAATTAAGACCAGAAAACAAACTTAAAAGAGTCTGCAAGGAAGTATTAAAAAAATGGAAATCATATCTTTAATTGTCCTTTGTAAAGCTTATATAAAATAAAATTTCCCTAAGTACTAAAGAAAAGCAAAGAACAAAGACAATTTTACATTTCAATAAAGTGGAAATGGGCAGGAGGGCTGATTTCCTTAGAAACAACCAAACAGGACTTTAAAACATTGTCTACACAGTGATGAAACATTACATTAAATATGAAATTGTCATCTTTCTCTCTATACTCAGAAGCAAGCACCCCAACTTTGAAAATATCTATTATTTCATCAACCCCAAAGCCCAACCTCCAATGGCCTTTGTCACGAGTCTAACCTCATTCTAGGCAGCTTCAGGACTAACAATGCCTGTCTGCTCTGATATACACCAAGGAGAAGCTGAAGAGTCCTATGCCCTGCTGGGAAAGCAGACTGCCCCAGGCCTCTTGCATCCTACATATCTTATAGAGCATGCCAACACTACAAGGGCCTGACTGCTGTTTCACCTGGGCCATGTCTCAGAATTGCTTTCGCAGATAAGGGGTAAGGCAACCTCTCCTCCTAGAGAAAGAGCGGGCTTGATTGCTGCTGACTTATAGCAGTGAACTCCCCGAGCTCAGCTGCAATGCAGACTCACTGTGTACACAGCATCCATCTGGACCAGGGGATTTGGGAGCCGATATGCTGATACTCATGAAGCTCATTTTACCTTAGCATTCACATCCTTTGTCTCTGACCCAGAAGTCTTATGTCCGTGCCAGCAACCATGGAAATAGTACTAGCTAAATTAATACTCTGTCAGTAGGGTAACCTCAAATCCCAGACCAGATACCTGGGGCAAAGGGAGTAATACTGACAGAAACATAGCTTTCTGAAAGAGGGAAAAGGACTCACGACATCGGTTTGGGGATATGAAAAAACTCTCTGGGATCTACAAGCAAATGCTCTCATCAAGGTGAAGGGGGGCGGGAGGGAATAAGGATCCCCACTGTCCTGCCCATTAATGGGGCTGAGAAAAGAGAGGCATGGTTGAGACAAGCTATAGCAACGGTACCTGGGTGTTGCTCATTCATTCACCTGTACGCACGGGTTCATCACGGCCTTGGGGCAGCAAGACCTCCAGCCTAGGAGAAAGGCAGTGTGTGTGTGGGTGCTGAGTCCAGGCTTCCTCAATGCCGTACAAGGGTGTCTGTAATGATGGATGACCTTGTGACGGCTGGTCTCTGGGAGCACTAACGACATTACAAGTTCCTTTTGTTGATCACCAAGTGGGCAACTGCTTGGGACCAAAAGCAAGTGTGTCTTGTTTATTGACATGAAAGAGCTGTCTCCCTCTACATTCCCTGATGCCTGCCTTGTCCCCTACTCTGACTTCAGGTGCTTTAAGGAGAAAGATGATTAGGGTGGATCCAAGGTCTCCCTGTCCCCAAAAGGTACTGTAGCCCATATAAACCAATCCTGGTAGATGGGGAAAACAAGGACCCAAACTGTACGGGTCTGTTGGATATAGGAACCCAAGCTCCACCCTACCTATTCCCATGGAGGGAAGGGCACCGAATCCAGCTAACAGGGTTTGACGCTTCTCAGTCAAGAAAGGAAGCTGAAATAACCTTGTGAAATGAACTTCTAGGCTAATTCACTGTGCTGTGGTGGTAGTTCCCATCTCTGACTGTGTAATCAGAATTGATGTGTTGCACATCTGTACTTCACAGTTCCCATGTCAGAGGGGGTTTCCATGTTCAGGAACTGTTGCCCATAGAGAGGTCATTTTCTAGTCATCGCCTTCTCAATGGAACCACAAATCCATCCTTTTACTTTTCTTAAACAAGTAGCTATTAACACACAGCTAAAGCTCTTGTCAAAAATGAACATCCAACATCTCACCGTCATTTGGTCTACCTGGACTCAGCAACCGATGAGATGGGAACACCAGGCCTTGCCAGTCAAACAGAAATGGTACCTTCAGGGGTAAAGCTGGTCTAGCCCTAGCACCATCTCATCTTTACATTAAAAAAACTGGTAGCTCCTCCTCTGGGGAGAACTAGGTTCCCTGCTCCACCACCTGAAACACGGCTGCTGGTCCAACAGGGCTCACGCAGGTCCCTGCAAGTTCACGGACAGGCCAGGTTCACTGACAGCTTAGCTAAGTTAAAAGTGCATGGTTCCTCTAAGCAGCAGCTATCCAGCCCCAACGAAAGACCTGGAAGACCAGGTGCAGTCAGGACCAGTCACCGGCCACACAACAGTCTGAATAGAAAGCTGTCCCGTTGTCTTGCTCCTAAGGACCACGCATCTTACATTTCTACAGACTCTCAGGCAACTGCCAGTGGCCTAGATATCTGTCTTGTCTACCAACTGACAGACTATAGACTGGCAGATTAAGAAGCTTCTCTTTGTAGAGCCACATGCTGTAGAAATAAATTATGGCTGCTGATCAGTCTGGGTCACTGATGTAGATGCTCAGAGTAAGGGCCTGTTCTCTGACAAGACCCACTGGAATCAAGCTGTTGTCCAAGCCTGTGCTGCCCAGATCACTGCCATCACTACTGGGATCCACCATTATACTAGATATGGCAGCATATCCACCATCATGGACAAGCGGACAAGCACAAAGTGAAGGTATTTCTGCTGTAGAAGCTACCAGTGCAGGTCAGACTTGTGGCTCCTTCCCTCAGTTGGCCCATTTGTCTTGCAGAGAAGGAGGCCATGTCTGCCCTGTCCACTCCTAGTAAAATGACTGCATCAAACCTTTGGCTCCCATTTTAGGATAACCCTAATGCTTTACCATTGTCAACAGTTGGGTTTTTGGTTTGTTTGTTTCTTTGTTTTTAGTTTACTGTCCAATCAGCTAACTTCGATTATACCACTGTGGCTCTTGTAACTAAATGGCATCATGTTCTTAACTTTGCCATACTATCTTTAGTCTGACAATGGTGTGTCTTTTGCCATAAAGACCACCCAGTGGTGGGGGCAGTAGTGAAAGTGATCAATAGACATTTCATGACCTTTATCATCCTCAAGTTCCTGTCACTACTTAGGGGTAAAATGGACTTTAAAAATCAATTCAAAAAGATTTCTGATTCTACCTGTCTCATCACCTCCTGATCTACGCACCTCAATAAGGTAGTTTGGTCACTAGATCTAGCCATCTCCAGAAAGGGTAAGGAGTTATATAGACTTGGCGGTGAAAAACTGAGATTTCTCCCTGACCATTCCTGGGCACGATGCATTTTTCTTTGTCTTAACAGAAACTCCAAACCAGTATAACTGATACACCCTCCAAGTGGAAGCCCAATCCAAAGGGGTCCTAGAAAATTCAAATATAAATTTGGTACAGCCACTGGATATATCTGTGTTGGAGTGACACTGGTCCTAGATGGTAAAGATAATGTCCATTTGGGTTACTGAGTTCAGCACACTTTTCACCACAATGGGCAAAGTGGTGGGCGTGGTGAGTCTCTATAAATTGTATAAAAAAGCCCTTAATCCAGCTTCACTTGACCATACCAAAAAAAGGTCTGACTGGAGAAAAGATAAAGTTACAGCTACTGGAAGGGACACAACCAATCCATGGCTGTGGAGGAATAGCAACAAATTTGGCAACAGGAAGGGATCACATCAAATCCCATGAGGTTTGAATGGATGTGACTAATACTCTCCTAATCCTCTATATAAAATGCATCAGCCTGGCAAAATAGTCCTGTGATCCACAGGAGTCAAGCAGCAGTGGTGACTGGTAATCTGACTCACTAAGACACTTCGAAGCCTGTCATCCCCATCCACGGGCTTCAGAAACAGGAAAAGTCCCGTGGACACGGCTGTTCCTGAACAGTTCTGCTGTGCCTGATCACATCAACAGCAGCTCCAAAAGACGGACCTCCCCTCATACCTGTGCAAACTCCCAGACTGGAACAATCTTGTTTCAAATGGATGGATACAAATTCATAGGCTTGTCCGGATTCCAAGGCAGCCTTAGGTTGCCCCATGCATGGCAATCAAGGCTGCAGCTACTCAGAATACTGTCTATGTGGCTTAATTAAGCCAGCGGAACAGTGATCCAAATCAAATTTCAAACTAGAGTGAATAGAGTGACCTGTGCTCTCTATGTGAGACAAAGTGGAATATGAAATAGCTCTGGGCATGAGGGTTACTTTCTGAACCATCTATTGCCCCTGTTATTATTATTGGCAATGTTTTTCAAACTTCCTTGTGTGGGTCATAAAAGATAATAGATTCGATAATAATTAAGACGTACTGGTCTCCCCTTGGGATTTGGTCACATTAAGCTGAGTCAGAGATCCTGACGGAGTGCGGACAGATAGAGGTAGAGTCAATATTGCAAGCTGGCTTCATCCTGCCACTTGGGATCCTATTGATCACAGCTTGAATTAAATGCTGTATGAGACAAGTTGAACTGATCTGGTCCAAGTCTCTGTTGGCCCAATTAATCAGAGTGACCAAGGCGTGGCATACTCATATGAAAATTCATCACAGGCCAAAAGAGTACATTAAAAGCTGTTGGGAATCGGGAGAGATCGTTTTCTTTGGACTCACACTCCCTTATGTGTCTTGTTCAGGGGACCTAGAATGTATGGTCTCAATTTCTCTTTTTACCTAGGCCATTTCTCAGGGTTGCTTCTGTATCCAATAACCTTAAGAAATAAGGTAATGTTTATCCCCAAAGAAAAGATTTGATTACTGCTTACTATAAAAGTGGCAGATGCTTCAAGCTCGAGATGGTCCTCATCTGCAATGCAAACCTACTGTATCCATGGCATCCATATGGGCCAAAGCACAGCACACTCATGGGATTTGGAGGTAAAGGAAAGTAGTGTAAATATGAAAACATTTAAGCAATTTGCTGTGTCATGAGAAATAAAGTCCTTCTTCTCTGACCCGTGAGTCTTGTGTTTTCTGACAGCGTCCATGATATATTAGCAGGCTAGTTTTTAATTTGCAAGCAGAGTAAAAATCAATTCCCAGACCCAGTAAGCTTATTCCTGGCTCGAACCACCTGTGATACCCTATATAAAGCCCGGTGGAGGCTACCATTCCCATAGTTAATGTTCAAGTATAAATTGACAGAGGTGTCCTAAAGTTGAAGACAACCTAGATTGATGAAAGAAAGGGAAAATCATTAATGTATGAAGGTAAAACGGGGCCTACTCTTATCTTCTAGAGCCTAAAACTATGGATTCTCCTACGGGGCCTCCACATAACACTGGAATTCTTCCCTTCAGTTCCAGTTCCCCCAGACCAAAATCTCTATGAAGGGGAACTGGTACTACCATTTTACTACATTATAGTGTGGAGAAGGGATATTGAGTATATGAGATATTGTCATATTATAGTTGAGGAAAAAGAGTGATTTCGAATATGGCCTGGACAGGGGAGGGAGTGAATATGGAGAGTTACTAGTCATGGACAAAATGCCAGCAGTCGGTCGATCGATCAATCAATCAATCAATCAACCAACCAACCAAACAATAACCCTACCCACACTGGGCAGAAAAATGGCAAAGAGACAATTGTTTATAAACTTAGGTCTCTGCCAAAAGGAAGGAAAAGCAGGAAAGCATGCAAGATTCAGGGAATGAAAAGAGTTGAGAAAGATAATTTTATTTTCCATTGTCAAAAATCCCACAAATGCAAAGTATTTAGGATTCAAATTTACCTTCAGAAATGTAATAAACAGACTCAAATGTCATGGAGTGATTTGTGTATGAGTACTGCAAAAAATCTGTCTCTTTGTTATTATTCACTATTAAAAGCAAATTCAAAAAAAAGAACTTGAGAAAGAGGATGAAATAACAATTTAGAAGCAAAATTATAAAAGTCAGCATCCGACTCCCTCAGGGTTATGTCCAGACTTCAGGCTAAGGATCAAATGTGATCAGTAAACATTCCAGATTTACTGCTTTGTAATATATAAGATTATAACAGACTGTGCTAGAAATTAGGAAAATCCACAAGCTCAGAAAGTAATTTCGTATTCACTTGTCTCCATAATTCATTAAAAATAAAAATAAATGGCTTTTGAGAACAACCGCAGACATGAATTTGATGGATGACCGTTTCTCTGCCCCCCGCCCCCCCACCGTGAGCCACGAGGAAAAGGGAGCTATGTTTATTCATAACTTCCCGTAACCTCGTGGGTAAGGGACGCTGCCAGCGTGGGATTCCATTTCGTGCAGGCAGAAGAAAACACCTGACGCGGAGACGGCTGGGGCTGGGCCTGCTTACTGCAAAGAGACACAGATATTTCAAACTCTATGTAATTTTTTTTAAAAAGGTTAAAATTTAAACCTATCTTATGAATAACATGAAAGAACACCTTTGCAACAATTATGAAAAAAAAAAAAAAATTCTGCCTCCAGGTCTTTGTTTCAGAGCTGGGGCCTTGGTACCCTCTAGGGCCTGTGTGGAGCAGGGTGGAGGCGGGGCGGGCGCAGATCCTGGATAGAAAACTGCCTGGATGACATCAGAGCGGGTCAAACACTAAGAGCATGAAACCAAATCTATTTTTCCCATTTAAAAAGAATCCCTCAGAATAATTAAAATGAATTCCTACCCAAATTAAATTGCCTTGAAGTTTTCTGAGCAAGGCTTCAGGCATTATAAACACTCCTTGACTTGGGCCTGCCAGGTTTTCTCAATCAATCATGCAGTAGCCTAAAATTAAATTGAAATGATTAGATCAAGGAAAATCAAATTTTTTGACATTTAGTTTCAGTAATGTGATTATGAAGCTTTTAGTGATATTGTAATTACTTTGAAGCTTTGAGCATATGTTTCTACTGAGAGTATTCCACGGAGAAAAGCCGCATTAGGGAAACAAGTAAATACAGACCCCAGTGAAAGGCTGGGGTCTGTGTTTGTTGTAAAATTAAAAGCTAACGGTGGAAAAGAGACAATGCATCCATGTAGTTTACACTCTAAACATCCTGCAGAGCGTCACCACTTTAAAATCCCAGCTAATTCCAGAATTAAAATAATGGAATGGCTTCCCTCTAAGGGCAGCATTAGAGAAGCAATAAAGAGAAATAACAGTAAAGATCCAGAAAAAAAAAGAAGAAGAAGAACAAAGTCATCATTCTGTACTAGCTCCAATTTCTGCCCAGTAAAACGTGACTAAGATCTCTCTAAAATTAATAAATCTCTTCTCAGACTATGAAATATTTTAATATCTACTACTTTGTCTATGCCAAAATGAAACCATATAATTACTCACTTTTCTATTATTTCAACACTTACTGGGATTTGGCTGGTTTGGGGGTTACAAAGCAATTAAGATGAGGTTTCCCCCCCCAAGCAAATATCAGTAGAGACTGGATTCTTCAAAGGAGGTACTTCAACCTCAGGAATAGGAAGAGAGATTGGAGAAGACAAGAAAAGAGACAATGGTCTTTCCTTTGATTCACACTTCCACTCATTCAACAATTACTTATTAAGTACAAGTATAGTCCTTTCCCCAAGAATGAAACAGATAAGTAAACACACAATTTTAAGGTGAAATGAGCTTAAATCTTTAATCTTTGGCAGGAAGATCATTCTATCAAAATAATCTGAAATATACAAACCTTTTGAAGGATTTATTGACTCTGATTATCAAAGCACAGCTAATTGTCCTAATAATTTAAAGATCATAACTAGGAAGCAGTGCAATAGACTCGGTGTTTACCTTAGATACTGCCAATTTTCTTTTTTTTTTTTTTAATTCTCTTCTTACTCTCAGTCACAGACACCATCACTTCCTACTGTCTCAGAAGAGCTCCAATTCGTTAAGTTTTGTGCACCTGCAACTGACCACTGGCTGTCAAGTTTGCTTCCCGCCCCAATGGGCCTTGGAACTTGACAGAGTCCATTTGTTGCAGATGTGAAGCTCTTCATTAAATCAGAAGAGACCAGATTAGGACTTTTATAACTGCTGTTCCCCGAAAGTAAGTGAGTGCGATTTTACTTGGGCCCGCTGCCAAAGCTCTTCTTCTGAAACTAAATCTGACCGTTCTCCATTCCTAACAATTAGACCAAGTGGCTCCTCATGATTAGCCTCGCAAAACCTGCCCTCTCCAGCACAGCACAGAACACTCCTGAGCCGGCCTCTATCCTTCTTTGCCTGATCCCATATCACTTCTTCTCTGAGCTCCTTACACTCTGAGCTCCCATCCACTACTCCTCCATCCCCAGCACAGCCTCCACATTCAAGCCTTCACATCTTGCTCCATTAAAAATGCACTCTCTTTATTGGCCTGCTCAGGAGACTACTCATCCCCAAAGGTCCAGCTCAAATGCCACCTCTTCCCTCAAGGTTCCCCTGGCCAAGTCAACACATGTCCATTAGAGCTTCCGTTATTTCTGATCATTATGTTGCAAGTGCACACAACACCTTCACTGAGCTGTGACTTCCTCTCTTGGATACTCAGACTTGTACCTGTACCAGGCCCTGTAACACAAGGTCCCAAAAAATGTTTGTTGAATTTAACATTTATTTTCTAACTTCTTTTTGTCCAATAAAAATAAACCTTTTTTTCTTACAAATCCATTTCTACACCTATTTTAAAAATGTATCCCATGTTTCCCTTAGAGTTTCTCCCAACTGTACAATGAGTAATTGAGTATTTTTCTTCCAAATATTTCAGCTAAAACTGGCTCATGAAACCATATTCTATACTGACATCTTTCAAAAAAAAAGTGAAGCAAACTAAGCTACATAATTTTATTCTTTTTTGTCCTTTGTAATTTTACCAGAATTTATTTAAAACTTCTAACTGTGGGGCACCTGGGGGGCTCAGTCAATTAAGCGTCTGACTTCAGTGCAGGTCATGATCTCACAGTTTGTGACTTTGAGCCCCACATTGGACTCTCTGATGGTCAGTGTGAAGCCCACTTCAGATCCTGTCTTTCTCTCAAAAAAAAAAATTTATTTTTTTCATTCTTGAAAAAAATAAGTAAATAAAACTTCTAACTGTGTAATTTTCAACCAAGCCAGATTAGTTACTATTTAGGAAGGGCAGCACAATGTTAAATCATTCCACAGGAGCAGGAGGCGTCTAACATTCATAGTAAAATGGCAAATAAGAAATCAAAATGTACATGAAATGGTTATTTGCGCCAGCTTTCCTTGATCATGTGTTGTTGTGTGGAGTCATATTTCCTGTCAAAAGCATAACAAAGCTTCCCCTGCTCTACAGGATACAAATGAGCAACCTGGTACAGCAAATTACCCAGCTGTAAGTCACCATTTCAGTCCTGGAGTGTAGCCACATGTTCTCTCGCCACCTGAGAAAACTACCTTGAAAAGGGAGTTATGTCCTTGGCCAGACTCATCAACTAGTCCACAAAATAAATATTAGATTCCTCATGTGTGACATTACTACGTGCCTCTAAACGACCTCAGAAAGGCAAAATCAAGTAGTATCACTGTCAACCCAACCCAATGTCCTCTGTTATCCTTACTGTTCATAATAAGACACTTCAAACCCAGCTGTCAGATGGTGAAAGCCTTAATGGTAATGGTGTTAGCTGGAAAGGCCCGCCTCAAGATGGCCGAGTCCTAGTCCTTGAAACCTGGGAATGTGACCAGGTGGCCAAATGGACTTGGCAGATGCAGCTAAGTAAGGATCCTGAGAATGTAAGGATGTTGGAAGTGTAATCATGGTGTCCTTTTGAGAGGGGGACAGAGGACATCTGACCACAGAGAAGGAGAGGTGTTGTGGCTGCAGAAACCCAGACTGGAGAGAGGCAGCCAGGAGCCAGGAAAACGCCTGCAGAAGCCCAAGGGGAGTCTTTGCCGGGGCTGTGGGAGGCTGCTCTGCTGACACCTGACTGTAGCCCCTTAAACCTCACGTTGGATTTGTGCCCTGCAGAACCTTAAGAGAATAAATCCGTGTGGCTTTAAGCCGCCAAACTTATGATAATTTGCTGCAGTAGCAAACAGGAAATGAATACAATGACTGAGCCACGCCTCCAAAGTGTATAAAAGGTAGTGAAATGATGGTGCTAATCCCTGTCTTCTAGAAAACACCACTTCTATGATCAGAACACGAGATGACTGGATGCTAAGACTAGTGCCTTATCTGACATGATTTGTCACAGAAATACAATCAGTTCTACATGTATTATAATGGTGATACAGCTGTCCAATCCTTACACTGTGTTTATCACATTTATTGCATTTCTCTATTTGCAAAATATTATATCCTTAATGTTGACCATCCGAAAAACACAGAAAACCTGAATGGAAAAGAGTCCCACAGTCCAAAGATAATAATTTAGGGGAAATACTTTCGGATATTGTTACATGCAGAATGCTATCCAGTTTTCAGTTATGGTACCTAAGCTCTTACATTAATTTTTTTTAACCTTTCTGAACCATTAAAGAATTCACATATACTCATCAGGCTTAGGTCATAATGTAATCTTATCATCATCATTGCTTAAAGACAAAAAAAAAAAAAAAAAAAAGTCACATCACCTCCAGAAATCGGACCTCAAATGGCATCACCTACTATTTTCTGAGAAACTTTACCAGCATAACTTGTATTCCGTTGGGCATAAAATGATAAAAATCCAGACAGGATTTTTAATAAATTAATACACAAGAATTGTGATGACCATGACTGGACCCAACAGAGAAGTTCCTCATATGTTAGGCTCCAAATAAAAATTACTCCAGAAGTCTCCTCTCTCCCCCAAAAAACGGTAGAGCTATATAACGTGGCGCCATGCTGCAGTGCCCAGCAGTAGCCAGGGTACACGGGTGAGCACATTTACTGGGCATGAAATCATCAGACACTGAGAATCAGACTGTTTGGTGAATTCCTTGAAATCAAGCCGATGAAAGAAACACTGGTACATCTGACAGAAACCCTGGGTGTAGCGAGAAACTGCAGGTGCCATACACATACCTAAAAATGGACAGTGAAGAGAAAGAAAGCTCCAGAAAAGACCACAGTATGGGAAGAAACCCAACAGCTGAGCATGTCTCTAATTCCTCAATGTCAGACCTCGGCTACTTGTTCCTTCCTGTTTGTATTACCTAAGTATGTCTGCAGTGCATGGTAAAACATACACAATTCCTATCCAACACGAGGATCTCAGGCGTCGTCATTTGACATCATGTTTCCATATCGTCACAAGTCATTATCCAGGCTCGGGGAAGGCCTACGGCTGGGCAGTCCCCAGGTGTCGGCGGGGGCCAGCCCCGATGAGCAGCAGCTTAGGGATGCTGCCTCGGTTGTATTTAAATCTGCACCTGGCACCCCCCACGGACACACCACAGAGCCGGGAAGGACTCCGTCTGGAACTCCCGCCGGAGTTCAAGTGCGGAAAGAAGCACGCTAGAGCGAGAATTTGTATTCAGCCTTTATTTCTCCAGGCCATGGGCCCGACTGTGGCCCAACCCTGTGGCCTGCCTCAAGTTCTCCCTCCGCAAAGCTCTGGATCAAGGAATAAAACGGATCCAGGACCAGATCCCACAGAGAGCAAAGTACAGAAACGGGGCCTTTGTACTGCTGACAGCTCCCTGTGTATGGAGGGACCCGAGAGGTTCCCAGGCTCATCCTCACTGTGACCCTCCGAAACGCTTTGCCACCCAGTCCAGGCCTGTGGGACCCAGCAGCAAGCAGGGAAAGAGCTCCTCTCTTGATTATTCAGACAGCACCTGCTCCTTC